GAGAGAGAGAGAGAGAGAGAGAGAGAGAGAGAAAGGAGAGCAGCTTAGTCGGTGCATTTAGTTGGGATAATTAAAGTACACGGCGAGCACTCGAGACACGAGCTGGTAAATGTCACTGGTTGCATATTGTTGTTCAGGGACAAGTGGCTACTCTCTCTCTCTCTCTCTTTCTCTCTTTCTTGTCTGTTGCTCGTGTCTATCCGCGATGATCGTAATCATTGTGACGTGTCTTCATTCATGTAGAATTCTCCATGATCGATCTTTCTCTTTCGCTCTCTCTCTCTCCCACGTCGGGGGATCAGTCACGCGCGATGGGATTCAGGGAATTTCCGCAAGTTACTCACTGCGCCACGATAGAAATCCCGTGAAATAACGGCGCGCTTTTTCCATCGATCCGGCTCCTCGTTTCCCTCGCTCATTTCGTTTCTTTTTCCATCGACTTTCCACTATTCCCGGGCTCTCCGGTTCTCCTCTATCGGCTTTGTTAAACGCTGCCGAGCTGGCCGACTGTTTGCTGATCTCTGATCAACTCTGCATCGAATTATTCCGATTGCTGTTATCGCACACATATTATTATTATTACCCATTGATCGTTCGTCGAATTTCGCGGAAAAAGCAGTTTTGCACTGAGAAGAAATTTCACCTTTCGACGAAGAGTCTAATTAAGCTTATTCAATACCGGATCGTTACAATTAGAAAAGTTTCTTGTAAATTTATCATTGACGTGATGATTTCGCACGGCATAGTAACAATAGTGTAATAGAATAACAAAATATCGAATAATAGAAATTGTTACAATTCAGACGATTAGACAGGTTTCTTGCAGATTTATTATATTTTCCTGCACATAGTACCGCGTGTTTGGTAACAAAGTAACAGTAGTGTGTTACTTCATGTTCACAGACCCGATGAAGGAAGTATGCGAGAAAATGGAAACTAGAACAAGTGTGAAAGTAAGTCGGTGATCGATGCGTGAAAGAACTGTAACTCTTCGAGAGTATTAATTCCATTTTACACACTGGCAGGTTCCTTATCCGTGGATTAATTAATTCCCGCACGCAAGAGGCACGATATAATTTATAAATTCTCGCGAGACAGGAAATGGCAGCGTGCTGGCATTTGGATTGGTGGACGTGATGCTTTCGTTTCCACAGCAGGGGCCAATGCAACACGTAGCGCGAATAATTCGAATTTGCGTTCCTT